GTGCGGACATGATGCTTAGTGACATGAATGCAAACAAAGAGCATAGCCACAGTTGGGTCTGAGGTGGGCCATGCCCCACCCACTTTCCCCATGTCCATCCCCTGCAGTCCACCCGGGGAACCAAAGGGGAAGGGGCCGGGCCTTGCTCCCCTCTGCTCTGGCTGGGCAGCGGAGCAGGGGCTTATGTCCCCTCACCCCTCCTGACTCGCTTTCCCTGTCCCCCAATTCTTGCCCACCCACCCAAATTGGGGCCCACTCAACTGGGCCCTTCTGGCTATGCCACGGATGCAAACCAAGAGCATAACGATTTCAACTAGGCCAGTCCCTGGCCAGCAAAGCATATCGACCTTTTTCTCAATGAAAATCAGGAGTCAGTTTATCTGCACAGATCCACAACGGAGCGATTCAATCTAATCCTAATTAGTCACCAGTTGTTTGGCTTTCGACATGGACTAACCCAGTTACTCAAATGGAAACGTCCCTCTTGCATTTATAGGAATTAAACCACTTGGGCTCCTATAGAAATTCTTTAACATATAGAATGTTAATAGATCATGAGAACCACTGGTCTAGATGGTGGCTGGAAAGTCTCTATAAAATGGATACTCTTTTCCATTACATCCTATAGAACTCTTCCCTAAGAGGAGGGTGACCTAGCTTAGGTTTTGAACCTTCATTGTATGTCCTCTAGAATTGTATGGAAAGGGAAGCCACAGCTGAAAGCAACTAACAGTCTCTGTTAGGAGTGTTGTTACATTTTTGCAGGTTTGCGTGGGAATTTGCCGACTTTGCTTTGAACATGACACTTTTGATGTCTAAGAGGGCATACTGGGATTTTCCTTGCTGGAAAAACATAAAATCCCACAGAGACATCTGAAAAATTGAGCTTTGCCCATTGTGGCAATTCGGTTTTTCCCATTTGTTACCGGCATTATTCCCAGCAAGGAGGCGTCGGAGCTAGAGTTTGCAAGTTCGATTTTTTTTTACACAAGTGTTTGCGTCCAGCCCGGCCCTTTTCTGGGCAGGCAGGATTGGCTGGCTTTGCGTGTGTCTATGTAACTCCCAATATGCCCTGTTAGGATTGAGGAGCTGTGTAGGAAGCCCTGGTTTACCCAGCACTTAGTGCATACTCATGGGATTAGTCACCTGCTTAAAATTAAGCCAGGGTTTATGAGCCAGGCGTTGGTCCAGGGCCTACCCAGAGTTTTGAGGCTGTCCAGAGCTCTCAGTGTGGATTATTCAGCTCTTAATTACCAAAGTTCTGGTTGTAGCCTGTGTTTAGCAGCTCAGTTTAATTCGTGCACTTAACGCTCAAAGTCAGAATCTGAATGAGGCGAGAACTATCATAATGGAGATAGTTTTGCAGCAGTTTATCCCCAAGTTAATTTTCCCTGCAGCTCGAAGGCCAGTTTTGGGAAGCTGATTCAGATGATTGCTTCTTTGTGTTTTCGTTTCCTGGGCAGTCTTCTAGCTCTGTGACAGATTGATGTATTGTTTCACTAGAAACGAGTGTGTTAATGTATTCAGGAGGTGGCAGCATCTTTATGGAGTCACCACTTTGCTTATGGACTAATAAGAGAGATGTCAGGAGAATGATTCATGGCAAAGCTGAGATTTCAGGGAATTAAGGCGTCAGCATGGTGGACCCAGTTGCAAATAAGGAAATTGCAGAGTTTCAGTGGGGGTGAGCAAAGGGGAGTTGTAGGGCACTTGGGATAGAAGGTGTGGTTTTTAATGATCGCCTCTCCTGTAAAGGCTCTGTGTGTGTGTGTGTGTGCATACAGGCACAAGCATTGGGGTGTGGGGCAACAGTTCATCAATGAGGAGACAAACTCATCATCTCTGCTCCTCCCATCTCTTTCTCTCTCTGCTTTGCCCCAGTTCTCAAAAGGAACAGTCTAAAAATGGCTCGCTGGATCATGGTGCAGAGTCCTCCAACATGAGCTTTGGGAAGCTAATTCCTCAGGTGGCATATCTGTGCAGAGCCCAGCTGACAAGAGGCATGGGGCCAAATCCGCGGTCATGCAAGCTTGATAAAGATACAGACAATAATGCGCGACTCGTCTGTCGGCACGCATGTGTGGAAACGTGATGGCCTGTTAAAACGGGGAATTAAAATGTCTGCAGGAGCCAGGCAAGCGGCCCCGGCACTGAAGGGCAGACCTAGTACCAATGCCCAGCCATCCCAAGTGGGTTGGGCGGGGAGCTGAGGCTTTCTCAGGAAGACTCCTGTGGGAGTTGGAGGAAAGAGAAGAATCCTTTCACGTTGTCTCTGGCTGTGGCTTGTCTGCACGGATCACAGTCTCTCCTGCCCACACCCCCTTTAACTGGATAATCAATTAAACATAATGTTTCTGCATAGGGCCCCAGAAATCCTAAGGATGGCCCTGCCAGCAGCTAATAAGAAAGAGGCCCTCAAATCCTGCCTCTTTGTGGCGTGAACCCACGCTGCATTTGCTAAGTTAGCGGGGTGAGGTTTGGTCCAGACTGTCTCATGTAACACCTCCTCATGGCATGCAACACTCTTCCCCAGCATCTAAATCCTGATTGGAGGGCTTGTGACTGTGCCGTGTCCCCCAGAGACGGGGACAAGATTCCTGTCCCATCTCACTGATAAGCAAAGGTCTCCAGAGGCTTCCATCTGCTCCACCCTTGGCCAGCCTCTGAGGCCACGTCTCCACTTGCTGTGCCAGAGATTGAGCTTCTGGCGTTCGATTTAGCGAGTCTAGTTGAGACCCACTAAATCGAACGCTGAGGGCTGCTCCAGTTGGCGTCGGTACGCCTCGCAGTTGTGGGAAGTTAATGGGAGTATTTGCTCTTGTCGGCCTCCCACTGTGAAGATGGCACCAAGCTTGGTTTAAGGTAAACCGACTTCAGGTATGTATTTTACCTAGCAGGAGTTACGTACCTTAACCCAACTTTCCGGGTCTAGTGTAGACCTGTCCTAATAAAATGACCTTGAATCATCAAATCTAGGCAGTAACCCTGTGCAGCAGAAGGCAGTGCAGGAGAGCGTAGCAGACATCCAGGAGATATTCCAGACACTTTTTCCTTTAACAGGGCTTTCTCAAAACTCAGTATCAGATGCTAATAGAGTCACAGTTTTTTGAGTTCTGTCTTTGCTGGGGCTTAGGGTTGGTTTGTTTTTAATGCAGACCTTCAAGGTGAATGTAAAGATGCATTTAAGGACTGGTTGCTGGGAAGATTACAGCAACAAAGTAGATAAAGCTGTCACCGCCCAAGTACAGACACAAAGTCAAACAGCAGCACTGTTGGGAAAATTGGGATGTAGCTCGAGCAGGCAGCATCAGAGCTGAAAAGATACAAATGCCATCACTGAAAAGTAAGTAAAAGGAGTATTAGACAGGCTGATGGAAGGTGTATGTAGGGCCTGAGCCTGTATTTAAGAGCTGTGGTTGTTAAGAGCCACTATTTGTAGTTTTATAGGGAGTTCACAAGAAAGCATCTGCTGCCCTGGATGGAACACTAACATTTCTGAGCGTGCCAAATAAGTTTCAGATTCTTAATACATTACTGTTCTAAGGGTTTCTGTAACTCTGACTTGTCTTGCCTCCTCTCACTGCCAAATGTGACATCTGGGTCAGCTTTTCTAGCCTAATTAACTCTCCGTAGAGCTGGCTTGGAGGGCATTAGTCCGTTGTGCCATATACCGTCCATAGAAAACATTAATTGTCGAAAGTCAGCCATGGAGATAACTCGCTTGTTCGGTAGGGATTAGGATTAGCCTCACAAATGGAATCTGGACACAGTCTGTCATGAATGATGAGCAGAATCTGTGAGCTATCGCATACAAGCCTTAATGAACCTGCTCTGAAATAACACTATGGCATACGGCCAGATTGCTTTCACATGGCCTCCGGTTCTGTTGCCCAGCTACCTGTGCCACACGGGCAGCCTGTCCCATCGCTGCTGTTGTGATTTATTCCCTACATTTTCGTAGCACCAAGATGCTAGGTCCCTATGATGCTAGGTGTTGTGCAAACTAAGGATGTTAAAGACTAGTCGACTATCTGATAAGCATTTGCTTATCGGATAGTCTTTTGACTAGTCGACTAGTCTATATTCCCCCCTGCTGCCTCTTTGGGATAGAGGCAGCAAAGGGGGGGAAGGGTACTTCAAAGTGTACCCCTTTGAAGTCACTTTGAGACCCCAAGGTGGCCGTTGCACAGCTGATCCATGGATCATCTGTGCGGTGGGCTGCCCCTTTTAAAATGCTGCTTCTGCGCAATTCAAAGGGAACTCCCCAGCTGATCCCTGGCTCCTCGCGGCATTTCCCTGGAGCCCAGGATCAGCTGGGGACTCCCTTTGTCTCGTTGGGTTCAGACCTGTATGCCCAGTAATTCCCATCAGAGCACTGTTGCATGGCAAAGGCAAGTAAGGGTTTCACCAAACCACCATGCAGGAAAAGAACCGGAGCATTTTGATCTTGCGTCTATAATTCCCATCAGCTCAGCTACTGACATCACAAGGAGTTCTCCTGTGCGGGGGGGTTAGTGTTCCCCAGTCAGGGGACTGAAATGACTTGGTGTTGCCATTTAGGGGCTGTTGGCCTGGTGGATTTACACGTGGATTTGCAGGGAGGCAAAACTGAATTAATGGCTGCCAAAGTGGTCAGTGACCGAGGTTTAGACTGCATATTTCTAAAGCATGTTTGCAGCTGCTCTTTGATTGCAGATTTAGAACCATGAGGTGAGGGGTTCTTGGCTTCCAAGTTTCTTTGCTTGCTGTTTCTTGAACCTCAGTGAGCCTACTAGGCATGGGAAAAGTCCAAAAGCAGAACTCAGCACTACCCTCTTGAGAGTTGGCGTACCGACTGTTCAACAGCAGACGGGCTGCAGAGGTGTTCGTGCCAGACCAGTGTGCATTGGGAAAAGAAAGATGTACAGAAGGGGGAGTTGATGCGGAGTGATCCGTGATTCGCATTCCGTTAACACGTAGAAGAGACGACTCTGATGCCGGACTGTCTGTTTTTCCTACAGGCTTCACCAATTACACCCGGAGCCCATCGGGGGACATCTTCAACCCAGAACACCACCAGGTGAACCAGGACATGACCCAGCCTTTGAGTCACTACTTCATCACCTCGTCCCACAACACCTACCTCATGGGGGATCAGCTGATGTCTCAGTCCAGGGTGGACATGTATGCCTGGGTGCTGCAGGCAGGCTGCCGCTGTGTGGAAGGTAAAGACAGACGGGAGTCGCTATGAGCGAATCAGAAGGCTCCGTAGATGGCGTGTCCCGTCTTTTAGGGAAAGGATCATGATTTATCTTCACAGGGCAAAGTCGGGGGTGGGGGGAGGTTGAGCACCAGGTGCATTTCCCGAATGAGCAAAGGCAAAACAGGGCTTCTCTGACCCCGTATTTGTGGCCTCCTTGCTGACACATTTTCCATGGCACAGGAATAAAGAAGAGACTTGAGGGCAGGGTTCTTGTTTATACTTGTAAAAATTAGGACTCCGTCTTTAAGGCAGAAGGCAGTTCCCCGTGGCGATTCTATGCTAGTTCTCCCTTAGCGGTGTAGGGCCTATGGCACACGGCTGGGCCATTCTGATTCCATCTACTAAAGGGCATCAGTGAACTAATGTACGAGGCTGAGATCTGCAGCTGTTTTGCTGAGGGGGGAGGGAATCCCGGCTATGGAAAAGAGGGTCACACTATGAATACCTAGCCCCCCCCCCACCATGGTTCTGATATTTGTTGTTGAGAAGTCAATCGTGGAGTCTGTTAGCTGAAAGAATCCTCCAGGGAGCAGTACCCGTGTTGTCCCTGTCCCCAAAGTCTTGCCCAGTATCATGGGAGGTGGGTGAAGGCAGGCCCTGCCCCCAGCTCCGCCCCTTCTGCCTAGACCCCGCCCCCCACGGGAGCCAAGTCCCCTCTCAGCACCATGGGGAGGACAGGCAGGTGGTGCGTGGTCCCAACCTCCCTAGTCCCAGAGCATGGGGAGGGCGGGTGGCCCCAACCTTCCTGGCCTAGCACACGGGGAGGGCAGGTGCTCGGGGACAGCAACACTCTGCCCTCAATACGCCATAGTCATTCAGGGGGCGGAGTCTGGGTGGGGCCAGGCTGGCGGTTTGGGAAAGCAGTGCCTTCGCTCGCCTATTATACCCGCCACCCCTGCCCAGCGTAGAGGGTCACAGCCTCCAGACAGAGGCCTGTGGGCATGATAACACCTTCTCAGGGGCTGTGGAAATGCGCCTGGCAGGAGTGTAAGGCTAGGGAGAACCCACAGGAGGGACAGGCTGCTTAGATCTTGGCTTTGCTGCTCTCTTGAGGGGCTCTGCTGAGAATCTGCCCTGTTCTAACGCTGAGCCCAGATGGGATTTTGGTGCTTTACTAGCTGTCCCCAGGAAGGTATTCCTCTGTGCTCGCCGAAGAACATGTTCCACTTCGGGCTCTCTCAGCAGGAGGGCCCTAGGTCTTCGGTTCACAACAGAATCCCCAGGCAACCAAGGAAACCACTCAGTGACCTGTAGGAGAGACACGAGCAGGGGAGGCAAGTCTGTGCTGTTTTGAGACCGTGCGGGGGCTGGGTAATTCAGGGGCGTTGCAGATTCTCAGTGCCTCTCACAGAGGCTTGGCCCTAAGTCATTCCTGGAAGGATGACACTTCTGGAATGGGGAGTTAGGCTGTTTGGCAAGATGTGCCCAGTATCAGGAAAATCTCCTTTCAATGTGCGTGAGCCTGGCTGTGAATTCTCTGTTCTAACGGGGTGGCTAAACGTACTGACCCGCCAAGCCGCATACAGCAACCTTCAGAATTTGGAGAGCAGGGTCGTGCCTGCCAGGGGTCAGGGGTTCACCTCGCTCCTGTTGAAGCCCCAAGCCCTGACAGGAGCGCCCCTTGGGATGAAAGCCCCAAGAAGCCCCTGGCAGCTGGGCAGAAGCTCCTGTTCCACCCTGCTGCTGCGAGGCTGAGGTCCCAAGCTCTCTCCTCTCTGTCTGGTTGGTGAAGGGGGGCGTGGGGGGCTGGCAAGCAGCGATTCAACTACAGAAGAGCTGCCACCATGGTTTGGCCACCCTGGGTTTTAGTCTATGACCCTTAAGTCTAAAGATCATAGACTCATAGAACATTAGAACTGGAAGGGACCTTGTGAGGTCATCAGATCCAGTCCCCTGCCCTCACGGCAGGACCAAGCACCATCTAGACCATCCCTGAGAGATGTCTCCACTGATGGAGATTCCACAACCTCCCTAGGCAACTTATTCCAGGGCTTAACTACCCTGATAGGAAGTTTTTCCTAAATTCTATCTTAAACCTCCCTTGGTGCAATTCAAGCCCATTGCTTCTTGTTCTAACCTCAGAGGCCAAGGAGAACAATTTTTCTCCCTCCTCCTTGTAACACCCTTTTAGGTTCTTGAAAACTGCTCTCATGTCCCCTCTCAGTCTTCACTTTTCCGAACTAAACAAACCCAATTCTTTCAGTCTCCCCTCCTAGCTCATGTTCTCTAGACCTTTAATCATTTTTTATTAATTGATGAATGGTACCTTTGTTTCCCCTCTACAGTTGACTGCTGGGATGGACCAGATGGCGAGCCCATTGTCCACCATGGATACACCCTCACCTCCAAGATTCTCTTCAAAGATGTGATTGAAACCATCAACAAATACGCCTTCATCAAGAACGAGTAGGTATCCGGCCAGCTGAGAGCTCCCTTGGGATACCCTGGCTGCGAGGACCTAGGGAGATAAACTGGACTCCCTGTTTAGACAGCCTGTGTGAAAGGCAGGATCCAGTGCGGACTGGGTTCTGCACGAGCCAGATGTGCCTGCATGTGCTTGATTCTTCCTGCAGTGAATAATTCATGCACGGGAGGAATGATGAGGCAGAAACACCTGTTGGTCTGAGTTCCCCTGCTCTGCTCATTCCTTCTAAAGCCCCTGACACTAGCTGCTGTCGGAAGACAACACACTGGGCTAAGGGAGCCGGGGGGAGCAAAATTTAACTGGATCCTGTGGGGTTTGCCACATTCTCAAAAAGATCTCTTGGCATTGGAAAAGGTTCAGAAAAGGGCAACAAAAACGTTTAGGGGTTTGGAACAGGTCCCATATGAAGAGAGATTAAAAAGACTGGGACTTCTCAGCTTAGAAAAGGATAGGATAGAGGTCTATAAAATCATGACTGGTGCAGAAAAAAGTGAATAAGAAAAAGTTATTTACTTATTCCCATAATATAAGAACTAGGGGGCACCAAATGAAATGAATAGGCAGCCGGTTTAAAACAAACAAAAGGAAGTTTTTCTTCACTCAATGCATAGTCAGCCTGTAGAACTCCTTGCCAGAGGAGGTGGTGAAGGCTAGGACTTTAACAAGGTTCAAAAAAGAGCTAGATAGATTCATGGTGGTTAGGTCCATCAATGGCTATTGGCCAGGCTGGGGAGGAATGGTGTCCCCAGCTTCTGTTTGTCTGGAAATGGGTGACAGGAGAAGGATCACGTGAGGATTACCTGTTGTGTTCCCTCCCTCTGGGGCAGCTGGCATTGGTCACCGTGGGCAGACAGGACACTGGGCTAGATGGACCTTTGGCCTGACCCAGTCTGGCCGTTCTTATGTTCTTATGGATTTAATAGCCGCGGACTCTAACACGGTTTGACAGTGAGAGTACCCTGCTTTTTTATGTGCCAGTGGTACCAGCTCTGCTGGCTGGCAGTTGGCTGCACCCCAAAAGATGGGTAGGAAATTTGTCAGCAGGCGTATTTGTTGATGGCTAGACGAGGGGTGGGCTAAATACAGCCCACGGGCCGGATACGAGCTGGCTGAAATTTCTGTTGAGCCTGCGATGACTCCCGGCAGCTGTGAATCCAGAGCCGCACGTGGCTCTTTGGCTTCCCCCTTACGATTGCCAAGATGCTTTAAGTCCTGCAGCACAGCGGGGTGCCCAGGCACTTTGCCCTCCTGACGTGGCCCCACAGTGTTCCCACGAGCAGCCAGCTGCTTCTTGCATGTCTCTGTGCAGGAGGGGGAGCCGGGTCCATGCGTTTCCCCTGTCTCTAGTGCTGGCCTCCCATTGGCTGGAAATCAGACAATGGGAGCTGTGGGAGCGGTGCCAGGGGCATGGGCAATGCACAGAGACCCACTTCCGCTCCTCCTCCCCAACGGGCATACGGAGACATGCCAGCAGCAGCTTTCCACTTCCGGGAGCAACATGGGGACCCGGCACGCAGGCAGTCTGCTTGAGTCCTGCTGTGCCACCAGCCAGGAGCCGCCTGTGATAATCCTCTCCCAGCCAGAGCCTGCATCTCACACCCAACTCTGTGCCCCAGGTCAGAACCCCATCCTGTACCCCTCTCCCAGACCCCGCACCGCCTCCTGCACCCCAGTTCTCTGTCCCAGCCCTGAGCTCCCTCCTGCATCCTGCAACCCCCTCCCATACCCCGCACCGCCTCCTGCACCCCAGTCCTCTGTCCCAGCCCAGAGCTCAATCCAATTGGTGGATTGACTCCACTGCAGAAACTATTGCCCACCCCGAGCTAGCCAGAAGCCGTCGCCCGAACCCGGGTCCATTCAACGGAATGGGTTCGGTCTGAGTCCCGTGTGTGGCAGGAGTCTGGAGAACCACCACCTGACTTCACACGCACCCCCTGCTCTTAAAGTGAGGCATGGGGGTGCTCTGTATGGACGTGGAGACAAACGGGCAGAGCAGCCGGCCTCGCGTCCCCAGAAAGAGTGCTAGGAAAGGGGGGGAGCAATGCCTATGGGAGGGATCTGGGGTTTTTCTCTTACCTTGAATCTTGGTTGGACGAAGCAGTGTGCCTGTTGAAGAGCGCTGGGGTCAGGGTGCAGCGGCGGCTGCTTCTCTGAGCTGTGTTGCTCATGTCCATTCCACGGCCGTGGGCACAGATCATCGGAGAGTTTTCCCTCAGTGGTACCTGTCGGGCTGGCAGGGAGCCCCCTGGAGTGGCGCCTGCATATGCACGTGTATAATCCCCTGCTGGCCTGCCACCCCCTCATTTCCCACTTACCGTAAGCCCCCCATCCCAGTAGTTTGTCTCCACGGCTGACAGGATGACGGGTATGCCAGCGTTCGTGGAGATCAGCTTCTAGGTGGTGGATGTTCCCAGTCACGTCCCATGTTACCAACGGCAAATCTTTGCCTTTCCCTGGGGGGGGCATGCTGTACCTGGGTAGAGCGCTCCCGGCGGAGGAGGATCCTGCAGATACCAGCCCTTACGCCACCCTTTTTTAGAATGGGCCGGAGGGTGCTGATTCCATTTGGGAGGGTTCAGAACCCGTTTTCAGGCCGCACTGGCATGGCAGCCAGACCTTTCTAACACGCCTGTAAAATCAGAGTTGCGTCGATGCTCACTCTGATCAAAACCCGCCTGCATTAATTCAGAAAGGTATGCTGGGGTCTCTCTGCCACCGGGCGGGTAGGCCTGAGATGTGGGACACCTGGTTTCAAGCTTTGATCTGCCTGATTCAGAGCAAGGTTTTACATCTCACACCTGTTGGATTCAGAGTAAGCAGAGAGTTGAACCGAGATCTCCAACTTCCCATGCCCAAATCCAGGCTAAGATGTGAAAGAGACTTAGTGGCTCTCTTCCCTCCCTCCCAAAAAACCGACCTGTCAAAACAGACCACTCTCCAAAACATTTAGGCTTTGTCTAAATGAAGTTTTGTCCATCATGTGCTGCCCAGATCTGGCAGGGATTTTAAGGGTCTGATAATCTGATCCAGAGCTCACTGAAGTCAATTGGAAGACTCCCATTAATCCAAGTCCCTAATTATGCCCCGAAGCCAGTCAACCATCCTTAATAGAGCTAAGCTGTTCCTGACATCTCAGCCAAAGCAATGTTAGTGTGTGAGCTGGTGACTTGAAAAACCCAGCTGTTTGCACCGGGACTTTGGAACACAAAAGCACAGAAGGCAAGAAAGTTAGCTTCCAAAGTGCCTTTCAAATGTGGGTAACTCCTAATGCCATCAAGGAAAGCTGCCTCGTTTGGGGATAACCGGGACCCGTTACCATTAATTATTAATGTTTTAATTTATTTCTTAGTAAGGCCCAACAGCTGGCTTACTAAAGAAAAACAAAGATGTTGAGACTTGTAAGTCTCTTCCTCCCCAGTGCAATTCTCCCAGGATAGCACAGAGTGATTCAAACGCAAATTAAGAAGCGAGCTTTTGGCAAAAGCTCTAAGACCAAATTAGCTACCAGTGAGGTGGGTTGTCCCATGTGGGATTTTTGTCCAAGTCTAAATATATTTTTTCCTTCTAATGTAGGGCTTTCAAGGGCCAGGTGACCATCTGCATTACTTCCAGAAATCACATTTTATTCAAAAAAACTCTTTTTTGCGTGGTTAGCTTCCACACTTGTCCCAGAATTGTCACCTGTGAGCGAAACAGGAGTCCACCAAGCTTTGGTTTTTACATAGTGCTGATCCCCTGGGTTTCAAAATTCTCAGATTTGTGCTTGATCATTTCTAAGAAGTACAAAGTGAATTCTGAGCCTCAGCCAGAAGGACCCAAAAATAAATGCTGAAAATGAAAAGTAATGCAGAACATGGATTGGCTGCCAAGGCGTGTCCGTTACGCCATGCTATCTAGGTTGTTAGACCTTGATAATTAACTTGTTTGGCAATAGTCCCTTTTGTGTGCATCTGTCTGTTACGTGGTCTTTCTTTAACAATAATCTAGAACTAAGCTTCAAACAGAGTGCTGGCCACCATGTGCCATTGTAGGTATTCCACATCGTCTTGGTGCTGCTCCCTTTTGGGTGCAGGGCTCCCTGTGGGAACAATCTGGCCTTAATCTTTGTACATCCTAAACCTTCTGGGTTTGTTTTCCAACATGGAAAAAAAATGGGCGAACTCTAGCATGGTCCCAAGCCCATTGACATCATTAGAAACTGTCCGCTGATTGCGTGGAGCTTTGGATCCGTTTGTTAGCAGACGCATGCGCATCCCCAGGAGCATCCACAGGAATGGCGTCTTATAAATAGCTCCTGTCTGATGGCTCTGGTTTGCCCACTTTCCATTTATATAGTGAGGGGGCTGGTTCTAAGTAAGACCAGTGGGTGTCTCTGCTTGGATAAATTGGGCGGTACGTCAGGCTGCTTTTATCTAGATGCCATCATTAGTATGAGACTTTCCAGCTCAGTTTATCTCCCCCGAATGTCCTGTCTTCAGGAGAGTGGTCCATACCCATTTTTTAAAATGGCCCCGCAGCCCTGCCACAGAATCATCAAATCCTAGGGCTGGAAGAGAGCTCAGGAGTCATCGAGTCCAGCCCGACCCCAACTCAATCATCCCAGCCAGGGCTTTGTCAAGCCGAGAGTTAAAAACCTCTAGGGATGGAGACTCCACCCCTCCCTAGGGAACCCATCCCAGTGCTTCACCACCCTCCTAGGGAAATCGTTTTGCCTAATATCCAACCAGGACCTCCCTCTCTGTAACTTGAGACCATTGCTCCTTGTTCTGCCACCCGTCACCACTGAGAACAGCCTCTCTCCAGCCTCTTTGGAACCCCCCTTCAGGAAGTTGACCGTGAATAGCATGAAGCGCTCTTAAGATTGAGCTGGGTGTTTCTCAACAAGCTGCTCACAAGTCCTGGAGCTACTGCACCACTGTTAGACGATAGAGATGCTATGAGTGAGGGGAGGGCGGTTGGTAGAGCCCAGGTGCATGTCAATAGAACAAGCCTACGGGGGTGGGAATGAAAGGCTCTGCCTGCTTCGTGTAATACTGACTGAAAATCATGTTGATTTTTTAAAGAAATGAAGCAAAATGTTTGGTGCAAACCCAATAAACAAGTACAGTAAACTTCCGATAATCCGGCACCTTTAGGACCCAGGGGGTGCCGGATTATCAGATATGCCGGACTATCAGAAGGGGGGGCTATGAGGGGTCTGGGGTGGGGGGATGCTACCCCAGACCCCCTCATAGCCCTCCCTTCTGATAGTCCGGCTCTGCCCCAGGAGTCCCCAATTCAGCCGCTGCTGGGCCGTTTCAACAGTGGCTGAATCGGGGAAGCCGCCCGGAGAGCAGCACGGGGG